TGTATAAAACAAAAGACAACTGTCGTTAGCTGAGCACTAAATCATATATGTATGCATGTCCACAATTTCTGAAGCCGATTGTGCATTTATTAGATTCTTCTTCTTCTGCATTTGTAGCATTAGCACTGTCCTACTCCTCGTTTACTTTCTTGAATTTAATCTCAGGCCCAGATTTGCATCAGGGCAAGCAACCATATGCCGCCACAAACTCTTGCCTCTGCTTTTTAGCTGACGCCTGACTTATTTTTCGTCTTAGGACAATTGAAGCACGCACCTAGTCCAGTTGCGGTAAAGAACCAATGACTAAGAGCCTCATCAACGTGTGGAACCTCACTTTCATGCTTCCGCTTTTGGATGTTCCCTGTGGTCCTTGGCGCAATAACCAATCATCTCACAGGTTATCTTACTGGCATATCAAACATGTGATTGTGGACTTAAGTATTTCAGTTGTCTCGACCAGCTGGTTGGCTTTTAATTTGAACCAAGAGGACTGTACCGAGCAGTAACAAATCTTGACGTGACACATTGAAAGGGTTACGAAAATAAACAAAACCCAAACAAAAAATGAAATAGCGTTTACTTTGTCTGAATCGTCATCAGGGAGGGATGGAGATCAAACAAAGCCGCAGTCGCCTGTACCAAAAAAACGGCCCAGTTTCCCAAATAGAGGAAGAAAGTTTTATCATTTTCTATCTGATTTTTCGATATAATCTATCCCAAATAAACGGCTGCTTCGACAAGTAGATGGCTCCATTAAATGGAATCCATTGTATTTCCGTGAGTAGTGGCATACATTTAGTGTTCTGCTCTGGCCATGTCCATCACATGAAAAACGAAAGCTAGGCAAAGATTCATCGGGGTCTTCGGTGTGCCAAGGACCTATTCGCATAAATCTATAGTTACAACTCCAAAGCAATCAACCCTCCTGATGGAGCCAACTTGCGATTCCCTTCCACTCGTCTATTCAAACGAAGTGAAAGATACTCTAACAGCAATTTGTCGCTGGTTTAAGGTATAAGTTAACAGAGGATTAGTTAGTACTCATGAAGAGAGAAGAGTCATGCATGTTGAGTACTTACATTGCAGATAAAATAAATATTTCTTAGCTAGTGAGTTTGATAAGGCTATAAAATCCGAGAAGACATTGCTAATCACGTAGCTTCTTAGAGAGATGAGTAAACGTTCAGTGCCTTCGCAATGATGACTGTTCAACTTAAAGGCTAAGAAATTGTGTCTATATATATTCATTATAGCTAGTTTTACCCGAGAGAGGAAGTTTTTACAACCTGCCTTCCGTCTATGAAAAAAATGTGGCAGTTGGGCTGAAATAAATGTAAAAGACTGATAGCCGACAATCAGACAGTTGATCATTTCGCCAATCTCAAGTGCTCGGAGAGCTGCAATATAGCCATTCTCTATGATGATGTTAATCATGACAATGTATAGAGAAGCATATTTTACAATCACCGATCGACAGTAGCTAAAGACAGAGGGATTTAACTAAAGCCCTTCAAATAAAGCATGGATACAATATCTATTGGCAGTCAGCCTAAAAATACGGCGAGTCTTTAGACAGTCTTTTGATGTCGAAAAAAATTTCACTATATTGTACCAGTAATAGTAAAAATATTTAAAATTATCCAATGAAACTTATAAACAAGATGTAATATTAATGACATCAATTAGAGGCTCAAATGCACCTAACTCACAATAATCATATAAGAAATTTTCATCGAAAAATTAAGGTGCAAAGTGAATAAAATGCCCACATCTCTCTCTCTCTCTCTTCTCATATAGGTGTGTGTGAAAGCTCAAATTAGGCTAACCTGATGAAGTATGGCACCAGGAGTAAATCCAGAATTAGCTGCAGAGGAGCCAGGGTTCTCCAAGAGTGATGCAAGTGTATGGAGCGTCTCTTTGGTGAACTCATCAGATGGCCTAGATAATATTAGTTTAACGATTATACGAGTGAGAAATATTTCAACTAGAGACTCTAAAATTAACTAAAAAGTATATAAATGGTAAACTAAAAAAGGGTCAAATTACGGAGAGATTAGCCATAAACTAATGTAGGAACATCGAACTTCACCTCATGTGAAAGCGCCTTTTGAAGAGGTAGATAAATCGATTTCACAGGAATGTGGCGGCTGCTTCCTCATGCTCTGCAGCTGTTTGATTATGCTACAAAGTTCAGGCGAGATTAGGCATGTTTCTTAAGTTTATGTCAAAAGAAGTTTACTAACTAATTACAATGGAGCCTAAATTTAGTAATGGATCATCAAATTTAAAATCCTGAGTCCTGAGTTAAATCTATAGATATTTCTATCCTTAAAAAAACCTGACAAAGGTAGAACATAGTGCGCCATGGATTCAGATGAAATGCTAGTCCATCAAAATGACATTCATACATATAAACCCTTAAAGAAAGATTAAACAGATGGGCTTAAAGCTAGATTGAAGAACGCTACCTAAAAGTAATAAGGGAATGGATAAATAAAAAAATAAATTATCTTCATCAGAGATGCCGTTGCAACCAAAGGTGTACAATGGAGGCACTCTTTTTTTATAAAGACAATTAAGTGGTTGAATATTAGTGCTGTTTAGTTAAAGTTACCACATAAACTTTTAAAATTAATAGACCAGCAAAAATGTTAAGGAGAATATATATTAATATATTTTGATGTTGTATCCGTGTTTGGTGTCATTTTGGTTCGGGAAGTCATTCAAACTCTATGGCTCACTCTGGATGGACATAAAGAGAATATGGAAGTAATAAGTTCAATTAGAATCTCCATTTAAAGACTTGATCTATCCATGGGTAGTACTTACTTTAGCAGACAATAAGTTTTATAAATGAATACGAGTTTTGGTGTCATCTAGCTCAGCGCTCATTTTGGTGAATAATTATAAGGCTTAAATTGCGTAACCCTAATGTAAAGGATAATACTTAGATATATGGAAGAATAATTTATCATTTGGCAGCCCGGTAAGGGTGGTAAGAAATTTCCTTACATTCGCTTAACCATCGTGAAAATAATGAAAGGTTAACAATGTAATTAAAAGAGAATAATTGTTTGCCCTTATGGGTTTTCTATCTATTGAGGAAGATAGTAAGTCGAG